ATATTTCACAGGTCTTTGAGGACAGAAAGTCACATTAACTTTCACAAATTTTCTTCCTTTTGAAATTCCTTTGCATCCATTTGACAGGTCTTATCCATCAAAATCCTGAAATTGAATTTAGGAAGATATCCTAAAAAAAGTCGTCATGAATGCAAAAATGAAAAGTACTGTTAAATACAGTTTATTTTCACTTGGAATTAATTTTCACTATTTTCGCTGAAGGAATAATTCAGTGAAAAGAAAACCCAGCGAATATACTTTTTTCCTATATTTTACATTCAACTCAACAAAAATCAGTGAAAATAAAATACACGCAAAATGTCTTTTCAGCGAAAATTAATTCCAGCTAAAATAAAGTATTTTACAGTATGTTTTCTAATGGATGTGGGATTGTAACTTTAAATCATCAAATTCACAAATAGTAAGGGTTGATGAAAACAGGGGTGTGCATCCTCCGAGATATCAGATGTAAATTTGATGGAAATCACACTGGTAACTGTAATTTTTCTCACAGATTAGACAGTGCTCCTTGTAGGAAGTGTATAGAACAAATAAATCTACAGGTAAGACAATTATTTTTTATTAACAACATACAAATGTAACTTTGATGGAAGATCTTGAAAAATCCTCATCTCTTGAGAACAATAAATACTGTAAAATGACTAATTTTCACTGGGTTTAAATTCGCTGATTTACCATTTCAGGCATATTCAGTGGGTTTCAAATTCACGGTTTTATCATTTAGATAATGTATTCTATGCTAAATTTTACATATTCACTGGGTTTTAATTTAGCACATTTTCCAGTCAGCGAAATAAGCAAAATTAAAACCCAGTGAATAATTAATCCTTTTACAGTAGGTAGAAATTAGGTACTGCAGTATTCTCACAGAATATTTTTCACAGATGAATTAATGGTGTATATATTGTATTTATTTTTACCATACCCCCGGTATTTGTTCTATTGTAAAGGGTAGGTTTGTCTCTGGTCAAAATAATTCATATTATTATACATCTGTCACTGTAACGCCATAAGTTACAGCGTGCCGTAATTTTGCGGTATTTTACGGGGTATTTCCATCCTACCATATTAATGCGAAATGCGAATTCCAAATATGGAATGATTACACGCGTAAGCGTCCTCTAATAATAAAAACAAACATGGCTGCCACCGGGGTTTGACCGGACTCCATACAAAGAAGTTCGCTGATTCTGTTCTAAACTTTTTAGATTTCGACATTCCCATGATGTATCCTTGGTAGGAAAAGATGTATAATAACAAGGTTATCATGAAGATACCTCAAAGTATGCACTCAGACAGTACGCCGCGCATTGACCTCCACTGCGTGTCAGTCGATACTGCCGCTGTACTGTCTTCATGCATACTTTGAGGTATTCTCGTAATAATCTCATATTATAATGATGCAGCATATAATTAATGCAGATTTTGTTTTATGTGTGCTTCCATTAGAGATTCACTTCTTAAGCGATCATATTTACTCTATTAGTAGTGTATTCATTTAATACATTACAAAGATTTTTGTATGATCATATTGGTTCATATGCACTTCTATTGGAAAGAAAATAAGATATTTTAATCATTTATTCATTTATCAAGTCAGGGAGTATTACTTTTTTAATACTGAATAAACTCAGTATGAATTAACTTTCCACTTAAAAAATTCTACTGTGATGTGTCATGAACAAATTCTGTGATATTTTCAGAAATCAATACCCGATGGTCAGACGGCGGTGACGTGGCGGAATAAACGATTACGCAGTGAAATGAAAAATTTGAAACAAGACCCTCCTGAAGGTGTCCAAGCAGTACCTCTAGACAGACACTGTTCGTTATGGCAAGCGACAATTACTGGTCCCACAGAAAGTCCATATGAAGGTGGATTGTTCTTTTTACATTTACAAATTCCTAGCAGGTAGGAATGGGCGACACCACAATGTTTGAACATTTTAAACTTTTTTTTTTCCTGTTGCTACCTCAAGATTCATGTAGTGCAATAATAAAGTAATAATAAGCAGTACTGACTTGTATTGTACACCTACACGAAACACATACATAACAGTTTAAAAACTATTGTTGTTTTTTTCTATTAGTTATCCAATGAAACCTCCGATAGTACGTTTCATGACCAAGATTTTCCATCCAAACATTAGTCGCCATGGTGACATTGGTTTAGACTCCATCCACCATAATTGGAGTTTAGCATTAACGATATCAAAGGTAAGGCATTATCTTTTCCATTTTCCCACAGATCATTGTAATTCATGGACTATGATACATCTCATTGATGATACAAACATTATTAGTGCTACATACTTGTCATTATGTAAATCTTTGAATTTTCGAAAACTACTTGAACGAAAACTATTTTTTTTGCATGAATCAATTGGAATACTTTTCTAGGAACAGTGACACGTATGTAAACTAAAAGAAACACACATCATGTTTTATTTGCCATTTTCCTTGGAATTTCTATTATCCTGAATTAATAGCGATAGAACAAGTCTTCTATGGTTATAAATTTTGTTTGTGTTAGCTCACAGGAATGTAATAACAAATTCATCGTATTTTGCCAATGATTTAAGAAGGTATTTATCTATATGTAGATGTGATGCCAATGATGGTAATTATTTCTCAAATTTGGGATGGTGAAAGTTGCTGAAATTTATTTACATGTTTGGAAAGATGTGTAAATATATGGCAAAAAAAGTATGACAAAAAACGGTAATTTTTAGTGCTAACGTATATATCTACCTACCTTAAAATTGAATGATGCATATGTTACAATGTGTTCTCATTTTATGCTGTGTGTTTGGGAAAAACACTCTAGCTACCCATGTTCTTTAGCGAAATGTGCTAATCATCTTCCATACTGTAACCTGTTGAATTTCCTCGCTAGTAATTTTTGCATATTGGTGATTTAACAGCATTCAAAGGGATTGCCACATAAGTGTTGGTTATAAAAAGCAATGTTATGAAATTTTTTTTTCTATAGGTGCTCATCAGTATTCAGTCATTACTCACAGATCCTTACTGTTTTGTTTGTATGGAGCCGGAGATAGGAAACTTGTACATGAACGATAGGTTAGAATTTAATCAGATCGCTAGGATATGGACGTGGAAGTTTGCCATGCATGATGTGCTCATACCCAGAGAGTTCACACAGAGTAAGGAGGATAACAAGGAAGGCATGTCATAGTCACACACGATATCTTGGTGAGCACTACAGTAACAATGCACCTTTTTTGTGCCAGCAACTCAGATGTGATATATGCAAGGAGCGTGTGAAGTACGTACTATGAAGCAGCATCTTGTACATGATGAAGAATCTCCCGCTTGTGTACATCGTATGCGTTACAGAAGAATTAATCTGAATTATTCAGTCAATACTCTGATATATATGGTATGCCCTAAAGTTGGGCATGCATTCATGTGCGTTGTCATAAAATGTATCTGTATTGAGTCGCATAAAAATATCTATGCATAATATATAAATATCCACATACGGCTGCACTAGCAAGCCATATGCTACTGAAATGTACTACTTGCCGGCATCACCAGCATTTATTGAAGCAATAAACCACCTCCAAGGACGAGTATACCACAAGATTTTGCACAGTCCCTGACATACCGTATATACACGAGCACAAGCGAGTTTAAACATGGAGTGGATAGTGCAAAATGGAGTGGTATACCTGACTATAGCGGTGGTTTAATTAGTCCCATTGTATTATACCAACGTCATTTTAAATGTAATTTTCTGAGACACAAATCATGCACAAATGTGATACGGCACCAAAAACGCCATTTGCAACTGTGGTAAAATAAAAATAAGCCCTGAAACTAGCATATAGCGATTATATAGATGCATCAAGCGGTGGAGCAAATCCAGACCCCTATTTTGGCATTACAAGGCTTATTCCAGCAATTGTACGTAGCAGTGTTTGGCTGAAGCATTGTCTTGTGGTATAATTTGTACAAGAACACATTTATAGAAAGAAAATACATTTGTATGGCTGTGTGTTTTTTCAATGCAGGTACAAAACCTGCATGAATGCCGTGAATATTGATGCATTTTTGCAACTGGCAGCAATTTTGTTTACACCAGTGTTATAAAAGAATGAACTGTTGTTGTTAATGCAAACTACGCTGCATTTAATTTCAGTTTTACAAAATAATAATGCTCATCAAAAAATATTGATACCCATTTTTTTACCTGCAAGTCTAATATAAATGTGTTCTGAAAAATTTGATTACATTTGTGAAGTTTGCTGTAGTAACAAGTCTCCTGCCAGTAAAAACATACCGGTAGTAAGGACTTTTACATTGTTTTGATGATTTGAAGTTTTAATGTGCAATACGCTGAATGTACAGATTTAGAGAATATATTCAATCTTACAAACAATACAACTGTGTGTTGAAGTGCATTTTTGTTGCATCTGTATAGCCCTAATTTTAGAACCCTTTACTGTGATTCCCAGCCACACCTCTTTCCCCATACGGAGGACTCTATGGATGATTTGTATGATGTAGTCAAATTTACTCTAATACAAGTATTTTTTTCTTGAACCATGGCAAATAAATGATTGCAGCTGTAGATTAATATGCAAAGTGTCAAAAGCAGCTATGCCATTAACTGTATCAACCACTGACAGTATGGATTTCATGTCTGAAAATGATAAGCACCTGAAAGACTGTACACCTTGCCACCTATATCACACAAATCATTCTTATCACATTGGGGATCACATGATGGATACAAACCAAATCAAAGCGATTGGTTAACCAGAGTGCCACATACATATGATCCCTCAAAATATCATTCACTAAGAATACGACTCCTAGCCAGCCATGTGACAAAAGAAACTATACAATAGCCTTTGTACTCCATGGATGGAGCACAGTCCCTCAGAGGGACTGTAGATGGAGTGAAGCACAATGGAGCGATTCCTTCTTGGACATGGACAGGTTATCTCTAGTGTAGGTGATCACACAAGTTATTGTGTGTTTGTGATTATAAATGACATGGCTGTGGTCATCTTGTAAATGAACAAGGCCGAAAGCAGAGTGTTTATGGGATGATAGCATGACAAGTTCAACACAATACAAACAGTAAAAATTAAAATTGAAAGATTCAGTATCAGCTTCTTTGTTCTGTAATAATACTACGCGATATTGGAATGACTTGTGCTAATGCATTTATTTGCCATGATCCTCCAGCTCAGTCATTCAAGGCTCTGATGCGATGCTTTTAGTCACGGTGTATGGGCCGATTTACAATAGCAGTTTACTGTTAATACAGTTAACTGTAGCGATTGTACTCTGCATTTGAATACAACTGGAGCAGTTTAAAATCTGCATAAAGACTAAGACTTGTGGATTTCAAAAAAATAAACACATGACCATGAGTAGTTGTGGTGTTTGATTATTACGAATTGTCCAAAACAATACATGTGAATCAAGTTCTGTCAGCCACATCTAAATTCAGTACATATATGAATGTTGCATTTGTAAAGTCAATGCGTACACTAGATGTATCAAATTTCATTTCTTTAGGCACAGTCATTCACACCACACGCAGGCTTTACAAGACCATGGTCAAATTATGCAAACATATCTTGCACCAAGAAAGCGTCTGAAAATGTTTATATGCAAATATTCGAAACATATTTAATGATGGTGAGGAGCTTATCAAGAGAAATTTTTAATGTTGGAAGACGTGCAAATACATTTTGAGCTGTTGTCTCAATAACAGTACTACAAACTGGAAAAAAGATTTATATTAGGTTATCATACTGCATATTAAAGGTAGGTTGATACAATCACCATAATGCATACTTTACAGTACCCATGTAAGTAATAACCTATTTGATCTTCTGGAGGATGGTGCATCACATTTCATGGTGTCTTGCAAGGAATCCTATGTAACGTGCATGCATTATTCACATCTGGAATTAACCATAGTATCAAAAGTTTCACTGTGATTAACCTCTAACATTCAAGTGCCTAAGTTATAGAGCCTCTGGGAAAAAAAAAACACTTGTGTTTTCTTAAATGGTCAAGAGGTGTACAATGATAAAACCATCAGTATGTTACTTGTAGATGAGTATCAACACACATTCCACAGTATGTAAGTAATTATACACGGAGCCACATCGCCCAAAATGCAGTTTATTTAAAAACTGATACATTTCAAACTGTTGTATAAAAATAGCATCTACATGACATAAAACTCTGAGAAATATCAACATTTTTGTACTCTGCAAGCATTTCAAGGATTTCAAACTGTACACCCCTTACTTTAACATAGAAGCATGTACTATGTACATTTCAAACTGTTCACCCCCTTACTTACATGTACATAGAAGCATGTACTCTCCAAGCATTTCAAACTGTTCACCCCTTACTTACATGTAGTTTCTACTGTAGAAACCCTCACAGTACTGTATGTGATAGTATTGTTACAGTATTTTGCCTGTGCATATCTGCATGCATAAATAACCCTTATTGTGCACAAGTATTTGCATACTCCTAATGCAGCTCTACAACAGCCTTCCTTCTTCAGACATCACCTTGCTAAGTAATCAAGCCAGCTGATGTGTCTTCTATTGATGGAACGCTATTGCAATGTTATCAATAAGCACTCCTCATGGATTTGGTCCATAGCTTAAATGGTAGCATTGTGTTCTTTTGTTGCAGTGTAGGGTGGAAAACATCAAAGTCAGATTGCTGGATTTTCTTTAAATATATTTCAATTGGAGTTGTCAAAAGAAAGGCTGAATATGCTTCTTTTGGTATTTCCTTCTTCATTGACTGTGCCTGTTAATTGTAAAATTCAAGACAACCTATATTTATAAATGATTTAAAAGTTTTTAAATATTATGCAGTATAAACAATATGGTTCTAAATGTGCTAAACCAGGATAAGAGTAAAGGTTGAGTCAAAGTTACTTAAAACTTGTTGACCAATAAAACATTTAAATCGAGATGTCCTATTCTCACATGCCATTTTGTTGATTCAGAATTGTTGGGACAAAATAACGCTCACCTTCTGTAAATGTGAATTAGCTTGACTTGCAATCTCAAAGACAGCATCTTTCAAATTCTGTTCTGTTTTTCCACGTAGGATCTGTTCTTGTGACACGCCATACTACCAAATAATGTGGGAAAATTATAGAGAATATTGTGAGAATATGTAAAAGTATACATCAAGACAGAATATCGAGAGTGTGTGAATGTGTAAATATGGTATTTATTTAATATTCCAAGTATGTATAGTTCAGCATCGAGAAAGTATTAAGGCCTACTCATAAAAAAAAAATACCCAGATATTGAATTAAAAAAAGTTGTGGGTCACCAGCCTAATTTTTGAAAAAAAATGATGGGTGTACTTTTGTGGATAGCGGCCATTTTGGCACTATTAACTAATGCTTTTACCATAGATATAGCAGAGATATTATGCCACATCTAAAATTGTAGACTGAAATAATAATATATATTGTTGAGGATGGGGTACTTTTTGTTGTCCTGAATTATTTTCAAAATCTGGGTTTTAAAAAGTGTTTTTAACATTGTGTTCTAACTTTTTCAAAAATTATTAGTAGGCACATAACAGTGGAATTCATTGTTCAGGCATTCAGTGAAGAAATGTGGAGATTATGTGCACTACTTGAATTGCATTATGACAAGCACCATCTCATTTTCTCCAGCCACTATTTAGAAAATGTAATACATTAAATTATGCTCCAATTAAGCAGAACCAGTTCATTAGAAGAAAAAGAGGTTAGCTTTTTATAATATCTGGCAATACAACAATTTGTGGGGAAAAAATGTACAGACCAGCACCTACTGTAACGAGTGAGGTAACTATACATAAGAAAACATTCTTTGGTGGAAATTAACATCTGAATCAGATCTGAAGACATTTCTTAATTCTACTTGACAATGCTGATTACAAACAGATTTAGATATAATCTAGAAGCAGTAGTTAATGCTACTCTAACAGTGATTGACATAGCAGACTACGTAAACCATACCTTTATAAGAATTTCCATTGGTAAGTAAACTCTTCTTCTACTGGCATGGTGTGGTGTAGATCTCAGCAGAGTGACAATACCATGTGATTTACCAATGTGGCTGGCTGCGTGGTCAGCATTCACATCTTTCAAACCTAAGAAATTTGAAAACACATGAAATTTGGGATATCTTACATAGCCAGAGATGGCAAAATATTCTGTGGAACCTAATCCAAGTAAAGACATCCTTGTAGGGGCGTGGTCATTTTTAAAACTCAAATAAAAAGTTGAACTGATACATGCATTGTGTGTCATTTAAAATAAATAGTACTGCACCTAATGTCTCTAGTATGAGGTATAACAATGATGAGGTGGTCTTCTCAGCAGAGTTTTCAACATCTTCTAAACTGGCATGAGCCTTATCGTGTAAATTTCTCTCCTGAGAAAATCAAATCAATATCAACTAATGCATGATCATGGAAACAAATTCACACAAGAAAAGATTAATTGAGAATAGTCTTGAGGAGTCAAAATGCTGGTGTAGCAAATGTAATAACACATATGTACCATATCAATGACTCAACCCGGCATATACATTTGTAGCTGAACAGTGACTGTTGATACCAGACTATAGCCCACTAAACAGTGTAACATTAGACATATTTCATTTAATATGGTACCTGTACTCACCAATGAACAAAACATAAAAGTCGCAGATGATCAATTAGTGCCGTTTCAAATTTACTTCAATCTCATTCTATAAATGATTATGAACATCATCTGACAAGATGATAGCAAGAAGTTGGACCCTCATCATGACAACATTCATCAGAGTAAACATACCCTTTCTTCAATGATCCTTGAGAACCATCTCTTTGACAGTTTATGACTAGCAACTGCTCTGTGCAACTCGCATGCAATTGGTGTTTGTCTCGGTGAACCCTGTAAAAACATGACCAGGAATGCCTTAGTATTGATAAAATAGAACTGATGCTTATTTCAATTATAACTATATATAATAACAGAAAAAAAATATGATGTGTTATGTTTATACATTGTGTACATTTAGCACCGAAAACAATAGAATTCACTGTTCCAAATCTGTATCTGCACTTGTTTCAAAATTTCACCTTACATTTACAACGTCACGATCGAACATATTAGTTGATATGATATGATTGCCACACTGACTTTGTGCATACTTTGTGATATTCTCATAGGATCATATGCAAAGAAATAATTGTTTCTTATTTTGTTTGAGGAAGATCAATTCTGTAGGTTTATAGTATGACTCTCGTGAAGACACCATGTAATGGTATAAACTTGAACATCTGGTTAAAAATCCACTCTGATCAATTTTACTCTGTATATTATATAAATACTGTATAAATATACAGTGAAAGGCACAAGGCTAGAGCTTCGGTTTTAAACATATTTACCTGTATAACAATTTGTAAAAGCCAATCAACAGAAATCATTCAAGTTCAAATATTCAATAGTGATTGGCTCAAGAGCTAAACATATACCTTCACATGATGTAGCAGCTGTGACTGCCCACATATTCATAATGGAAGCTTGTTGAAATATCTCAGGTAATATTAACTAGAACTAACGTTGATGTCACAATACCATTTCTGGATTGGTCAATTCGAATTCTAGCATCCATTTTGATTTATTGAAATTAATTTTAAAATGTTTATAATGACCACAGCTTTATGCTCTTTACTGTATTAGTACTTCTTATTGGAAAACCATTAAACAATTAAAGTGGTAAATGAATTTTGTTCATGGAATGTTTATGTGATCTAATAACATTTGTATTTTACCTACTTGATAAATTTCATTTATTGTTTCCTTCCAAAACTGCATTCGCATTTGAGCAATCTTGATATCTGATGTATTGTCTTTTACTGTAGCTACATCAACATTGAATGCCCTCAGAGCAAATGTTGCTGTTCTCGCATTTTTTGGCAGTAAAAGCGTACACAAGAAATTTTCATAATCATGTTTCCTGCAACAAAAAGTAATTAATGAGAAATAAGTGGCCAAATCCCCATGCAACTTTATTATTGAATTATTTTCTAATATATATATACATACATATATATATAAAGTCTTCCATCATGGTACAGAATAACTGTGGTGTCCTAATATTTTATATTTTGAGATTCCTTTTTTTGTTTTCCACAAGTACATTTGTAAGTGAACATTATTTTTTACATGAGACTATTAGTATCATTGAAATTAAAAAAAAACTAAGACTGTATACTAGTTTACAATAAACACATAAATGGAAATGTAACAAACTGCGCCTTCCGCGGTGCTCCAAACACAACGTGCGGTATAGACGACTTTCCCGGAAGTCGAAGATACGGCTTTTCGCATGCAAAATTGGGGTGTAACATAAACTTGCACGCGTGATATTGTGCTTCTGGGTGTAACAATTGACGTAACAAAAATAAAATTCCCTTCTACCGACTATCAGCAAACTGACATGTTTGTATTTTCCGCTATGACAAAGCAGGAGTATTTTTGCACCCCAGTTTTGCTACTTCCGGGAAAGTGGTCTATGATGCCGTTCGGCCGGCGAGGGCCTACTCACGCCTACATGTCAGGCTTACCCTCTTGAATGCGACCAATGATATTCATGTTTAGAAAATTGGGAAAATCAACACTTACTTGACGACATCCATGCAATAATGCTCATTTGTGGAAGCATTGGTAGAGTTCCATCTCTTAGTCGTTTTTTCATCAAAGGGTTTCGGGATTCCATGTCTCAAATGGCAAATAAATGCCACTCCCCCTTGCAGACGCTTTAATTTCATGGAAGCAGACATGTTGTTCAACTTTGACACCGCATGTCACGTGATAGGATAATTAAGCCAATGCACGTGAGCCAATGAGAAGAAATCACGCATTCTCGTGATACTCTACGAGACGTGTCATTCCCTGGCGAGATCTCCAAGATAGGGTTGAACTAAGGTCAGACAGAAGCTCGACAGCAAACATGGCTCTACAAAACTGTGCAAAATCCTTGGTTAGCGCCGCTTTCAAACATCACCATGCAAAAGGAGTGATTTATCAATCATCCACAAGAGCTAGGTGAGTACAAGGCGGACGTATTCCTGCTTTTAACGCCAATTTGCGAAGACAAAATGCCGTGTCAGTGACCCGGCGTGTCGTCCTATTTACCGTGACTGTAACTGGGTCACATAAAAGACTCTTTAGTTGGTTGCAACTCTACAAAAGCCTTCAATGAAATAGCCATTTTCAATGTTTCGAAAATTTGCTTTAAAAAATCGTCGATATTAGTTGTCAAATGCGGAACATTTCAGGCGAGACAAAACGTTTCAGGGTCATTAACCGGAGTAGTAAATCTTAGTGTCTGGCAACCAGGTATTTAAATACTGCATGTAGCAATATACCTATTATAATAACCTATCCGGACTAAAATTGACGCGAAATCACGGCTACTGTTATAACGTGCCCACTGCTACTGCAGATATTATATAAAGTATGCTTCTACTCCTCTAGAATCTAAAAGTGCTTGCCATTGTCTGTTAAGTGTATCTGACCTCTCCAGCCTCACAACTCATAAAACTATATCATAGCTTTATCAACTTCTGTAATGTAATTTATTCAAATGTTGTGTACTCTGAGTATACGAGTAGTCTTCAACAGTTAAAACTTGCCCCAGGGGACTTTAAAAAGTTCCCATAGTTGAATTTCCCAAATTCGTATTGGTTTGACTAACACGTTGACATTTCCAATTGTATTTACTGTCTAGTAGTGAACATGGTTGCATTCATTTACCATCAGCCTAGGCTGACCTCAGAAAGTACACATCTTAACTAAATTTAATTTAATCTGCATAACACAGGGCTTAAGCTTAGCAATTTGAGGCAAAACATGGTAAAAATGCCTTGGTCTCATTGAAACTAGTGAAAAATAATTGCCAAGTCAATTAACGCTGTGGTTTCTGTGAATTTTCAGCACTGAGAACATGCTTCTTTATTGTTATTTAAATGCATTTTATAGTACACGTACCATATTTATTTTGCCAGTATAATATAAAAAGAAAAGGTGGAGAATGACCATTTTCAT